TGGAGAATATGATGAAGATGACGTATATATTACTGATGGTATATACACAGTACATCATACATATAAACACTATAAACCAACAAAACAAAAAATGGTATATTATGAAACTCAATTATGTACCTGTGACCCAAAGAGATATTCGGGTCCCAATAAAATTTTATGTCTACATATCTGAGGAATAATGAGTTATTTTACCTTCATTAGAATAGACGAATCCTGGGTCGAGATTCTTAAAGATTCTTACGTTCAATATTTCCCGTAGCTATTTGTGTAAGAATATTCCTCATTGGTTAAAGTTAAAGAGTAATATTATCTTTAAGACTAGTATTATTTTTACTCTGTCTTCCCCTTTGTTATTCTATCCATTATTTTACCCATAGATATTTATCCCATTATTCCTCGTTATGGGATCAACTACTGATTTTGTTTTTGTAAATTTCCTGGATTACATTTTCATTGATTTTATACTATTTCCTTATTTTTTTTCCTTTTTTCTGGCTCCTTTCTTTATCTTTCTGTACATTTCCCTGTTATTTTGTCTCTGTCGTTATCTCCCATCTTCTTCCATTTGTTTTTTTCAGAGAATTTTTTTTACCTCTCTAAATTTCTCTTATATTTTCTTTATGGACTCATTTCCTCCTAACTTTCTTCTCCTTACCACTTTCTTTAAAATATTGTTTGTGATGCATTTTTTCTTTCCTCTTTCGTCTTTAAATTAACCTCACTATTATTCTATTCTTTATCTTACGCTTTTAATACCACAAATCTGTTTGGGTTTTCAATTTCACATTTTATCGCTATTTTCATCTTATTTAACTCTAATTACAATCAACATTTTCACCTTTTTAACATCAGAAAAATCATTACTGGACCAACTTGGACATGATCTGGTCAACACTGCCTCTGGATAGGTTTAGTCCCTTGTTCTAACGTTAAATCCAATACAACTCCCTGGAGATATTATCATTACCTTAGGCTGGTGGTCATGTATAAAGCCTTGAATAATGTTAAAACTAAGAACATCCATTATAATTTTTCATCACCTTGACTAATGTTTATATTACCCAATGTGGTTCTGCCTTTGCCTCTTCTCCAAACTTTGCATTAGCGTCATTTATTACGATTTAATACTCACTAAACTTCACAGCTTTGTTTTCCATTCCTTATGTCTTCATCAGAGTGTTGTAAGACCTCATTGCTATCATTTGTTGGCTCATAAACCTGAATTATTATTACTATGGTGTTGGGGCTAACGTGAATCTCGATGGATATAACTCTGTCTGACACTACCCAATATAACTCTGTCTGACACTACCCAATATAACTCTGTCTGACACTACCCAATATAACTCTGTCTGACACTACCCAATATAACTCTGTCTGACACTACCCAATATAACTCGTTCTGACACTATCAATATAACTCTGTCTGACACTACCCAATATAACTCTGTCTGACACTACCCAATATAACTCTGTCTGACACTACCCAATATAACTCTGTCTGACACTACCCAATATAACTCTGTCTGACACTACCCAATATAACTCTGTCTGACACTACCCAATATACCTTCACACAACTTTCACTCCATAAGAACACACCAACACATCCTTAACACCGACTGACTATATAAAGTGACATTCTTCTCGGCTATCGCTATCTAAACCTGGCTATCTCACCTCACATAATCCCACAATGTCCCACAGTAACCTTTTCATCTCCCGACCGAAGACATTTGCATATTTCTCACCTTCATATAACGCCTTCACAATCCAGGTTAATATTCTCTGTTTATGTCTTCTGATTCTTAAGCCTCTGTTTATGTCTTCTGATTCTTAGGCCTCTGTTTATGTCTTCTGATTCTTAAGCCTCTGTTTATGTCTTCTGATTCTTAGGCCTCTGTTTTATGTCTTCTGATTCTTAGGTCTCTGTTTATGTCTTCTGATTCTTAGGCCTCTGTTTATGTCTTCTGATTCTAAGCCTCTGTTTATGTCTTCTGATTCTTAGGCCTCTGTTTATGTCTTCGATTCTAGGCCTCTGTTTATGTCTTCTGATTCTTAGGCCTCTGTTTATGTCTTCTGATTCTTAAGCCTCTGTTTATGTCTTCTGATTCTTAAGCCTCTGTTTATGTCTTCTGATTCTGCCTCTGTTCCTGATTCTTAAGCCCGTTTATGTCTTCTGATTCTTAAGCCTCTGTTTATGTCTTCTGATTCTGCTTCTGTTTATGTCTTCTGATTCTTAGGCCTCTGTTTATGTCTTCTGATTCTTAGGCCTCTGTTTATGTCTTCTGATTCTTAAGCCTCTGTTTATGTCTTCTGATTCTTAGGCCTCAGTTTATGTCTTCTGATTCTTAGGCCTCTGTCTTCTGATTCTTAAGCCTCCAAGAATTTTGTTTATTGTTGACGATTTTGTTTTTGTTTATAAAGTCTTTTCTTATCATGTGATTGTATTTAATTATGATACCTACATTTGGAGAAAAAAATCGAAGAAGTTTTTATTCTTCACTGGTGGTTTTTAAGTAAATGTATATAGATAAACTTGTAGTGATTTTTTTTTTATGCAACGTTCTGGGATTATTGATATGACGTATCTGGGTAATATAGCTTCTTGAAACAACTTTATCCTTTGTAGGGAAAAAAAAGGCGTATCAGCTGAAAATAAAACAAAAGACTAGCAATTCTTTTTGTTTTCCTCGAGACCTAACACACCTACACACACACACACACACACACACACACACACACACACACACACACAAAAACCTTCACATACACTGACGGGTTATCATGAAAGCTTAATTAATTTCCAGTTATGTGTTTTATTATCTTTCGTTTTACCTCCTCCTTCTCCTCACTCAGCGGCAGACTTGGAGGAGGAAGAGAGGAGAGATAAATGCAGGTGAGAGGTCCCGAGGTCCTTAGGGAGTTGTTGGGAGAGTGGCAGGACTCCGGGAGAGATGCGGCCATCCTTGGGAAGTGTGTGTGTGTGTGTGTGTGTGTGTGTGTGTGTGTGTGTGTGTGTGTGTGTGTGTGAGTGTGTGTGTGTGTGTGTGTGTGTGTGTGTGTGTGTGTGTGTGTGTGTGTGTGTAATCAGCCACGGGGTGATAAGGGTCCTGATGGTAGTGTTAATTGCTTTTAATACTGTACATTATGTTATTAGCCTGGCGATTACCACCGCCACTGAGGGTGAAGATGCTCGCCAGAGGGGTAGACGTAGCTTGTTAGTTCCCGTCACTACTATTACAGTCGCAACTACCACTATCACCACAACTACCACTATCACCATAACTACCACTATCACCAACTACCACTATCACCATAACTACCACTATCACCACAACTACCACTATCACCACAACTACCACTATCATACTACAACTACCACTATCACCACAACTACCACTATCACCACAACTACCACTATCACCACAACTACCACTATCACCACAACTACCACTATCACCACAACTACCACTATCACTACAACTACCACACTCACTACAACTACCACTATCTCCACAACTACCACTATTACGTATATAATTTCGCTATCAGTACAGATTAAATTGCGTCTACTTCTGGTACAATGTTATTTTCATTACTACTACAACTACTACTACTTACAAAACTACTATTACTCTACTACTTCCAATACTACTACTACTACTACTACTACTACTACTACTACTACTACTACTACTACTACTGCTCACAATAACCACGATTTCTTTCACAACAGAAACTTCACACACACACACACACACACACACACACACACACACACACACACACACACACACACACACACACACACAATAACTGAACCTCCAAGATGTCAACAAAAACATCCTCGTCAACATCACAAGACATTTCAACCTTAGACATTATTTTTCGATGTTTATATACAGAACAATAACGTGACTCCAGAATATAAACATTGGTACTACAAACACGATATTAAACCTCTATAAAACATTACGATACCTTTCAAATTCTCTTCAAAAATGATATGTGGGTCGTTGTGTTGTTGCTTGTTTGTTTGTCCTCTCGGGAGCTTTCAATAGTAAATATAAAAGTTATGAATTACGAGGAAGATCGAGAAAATAGAAGATGTTGGTGTTTTTGTGTTAAAGATTTTTTGTTTGAGAGTTTTATTTATTTTTTTTTTTTAATTTGGAGGGAGAAGGAGATGGAGGATGAGAGGAGAGGAGAAGGAGGGACGGAAGAAGGATAAGTTAGAGAGAAGGGAGAAAAGGAAATTCCCACAGTTTAATTAACACGATACCTTTTTTACACCAACAAATCAAAGGATTTCTTTTTTTTTACCACAGGATGTTCAAAGCAGCGTCAACAACTGTATACTTCAACTAAGAGTAGAGTATTTAACCACGTTCATCCTACGAAACAAAGAGCAGGACAGTAACCCGAGTGTGGAAAGTGCAGTGGAAGTGAGATTTTACAACGAACTCCAATTTTTGTTTAATTGATGGTTTTATATTGGAAAGTAAAGGTTAAAATGTAGTTGTGTTATTGTTCACTTACCTGTTAAATCTCCCTGGGGTTTTTATTTACAGGTGTGGGTTGGTGATTAATCATGCATGTTCTCTTTGCTTTTTTAACATCTCTCTCTCTCTCTCTCTCCTGTATCTTCATTTTCTTTCTTTCTTTCTTTTGTCTGTCTTAATGTACTGTATTAGCCAAATGCCTTCCTTCACCCACACCTCACACCCACCACTACACCCTTACACCAACCCTCCACCCACCACCCACCGCTACACCCCCACACCCACCACTACACCCTCACACCCACCACTACACCTTCACAACACCCCTCACTGCTACCCTCTCACCACACGCCCACCCCTCTCACCACACCCACCACTACACCCTCACACCCAACGCCACAGCCGTGAGTGCCTGCGCTGAAGGAGTGCCGCGTAACCCACCACTGGTTGGACGGTTGGCACTGGTGGCGGCCCCCAACACTCGCCCGCCAGCCGCCCTGCTCTCCACACTGGCACTGCTGAGCCTCCCGCCGCCACCTTCCTCCCAGTGCCACTCACCTCCACGTTTCGTCGAGGAAACGTTACTCACAGAGACTAGCGTTACTAACTGGCAGTGCTGTTACATATCGTAGCGTTACTCAGACATGATAACATTACGAAACAAACAGTGACTCAAAAACACTCAGAAAAAGTGGTAACTATATCATGTACTCTTAAAAGGGGTTTAAGTACAGCAACATAACACAATTTTGTACACTTGCTTGAAACTATGAAAGTTTTTATCTGGCGCGAGTTTAGTGACACGTCGCCAGGTAGAGGACACTAACGCCACGGCCTTGAAGCAAATCAACAACATGAAGTCGCTAAAACAAAGTACTTCTTCCCTCTGTGGTTATTATGAGACCTCCTGACGTTTCTGTCTTATTGGTCTCCTGTAGGTATTGACAGAACAATGTATGGCGCTTCCGTCTACACCTGTCCTTTAACGAGTTGTCGCCAGGTACTGTGATCTTATTAATGGATGGGTCAGGATGGACTTCCTTCACCTGGATAATCACTCGTGTTGACTAAGCACAACTCACCTAAAGTAACTTGGATTATTTATATGGAAATAATAGTAATTTTTTAAACTAGATCTGGAGTTTATTTATGCAGATTTACTCGCCTCTGATTAACAGCAAGTGTACAGAACTAACAGAAGCTCTCTCTCTCTCTCTCTCTCTCTCTCTCTCTCTCTCCACAAGAAGAAATCAAGAATGACCAGTTAGGGGAAAACTGATCATTCTTGCTGGTGACTCAGATAACTGTAAATAACTGACTGTGGTAGACTGTAAACACTCCAGAACTTACAAGTGGTGTAGTGAGAGCTGACTGAGGTGAGCTGGTAGATGTGAGAAAAGAAAGTAAAAAAAGCTACTATTTTCACCAGCGTATGTTACCAGCTGGACACACATACACACGATCATCATAGACACAAAAGATTCTGATGGAGTTTTTTAACCTCTATTCCTCATAAAAGAACCTAAACAAAAACTCATTATCGTTCTCAAGAAAAGACAAAAAGTTCCTCAGGAGACGATGGAAGACACGGCCATGTTATCACCGACGCTGCTGTTTACCAATCAGACGTTGGACTTGGACGTTGAGAGGAACACCACACACACCAACACCCTCCTCGACGACACCATCCTAGACAACACCTCATGGTCCTTCAACTACACCAATACTTCAGGAGGACAAGACGTTGGCCTCAGTAGTAACGAAACGTACCTGCCCTACCGAGAACGCCCAGAGACCTACCTGGTACCTATAGTCTTCGCCCTCATCTTCATCACGGGCGTGGTGGGCAACGGGGCCCTAATCTTCATGTTCCTCAAACACCCGAAACTCAGGTGAGTCTGCCCCTTAGTGTTGTTCCTAAAGGTGGGAGGGATCAAGAGTCATCGGTAGGTTGGGTCTCCGGGAGTTGCTACAGACATAATGTAAATAGCTTATGTAGTTTTGAGTCTTAGTTCGATCCTCCGTGTACTGTAGGTCTTGTGGAGGAAATTGTTACTTTGCGTAAAAATATATTTTTTTCTTGTTTACCTTCTCAAAAATTTTCAAGTCTAAGGCAAATTGGATCACAAATACGTGGCAACACACACACACACACACACACACACACACACACACACACACACACACACACCCCACTGACCCTCACCATTTTCCCCACCCTGTACCACAAAAACACAAAAAAAAAATGTTTTCTTTATAATTACAATATACTGAGTTACATAAACAAACAACATACCGATTCTTTTTTTTTGCGATATAAATGATCACAATTTTTTTAACCAATATCAAAATACTGAAACAGAATATGTATATGTATATATTATGTTGATCAATGCAAATTACCTGCACAGAACTTCCTTCGTGTGTGTGTGTGTGTGTGTGTGTGTGTGTGTGTGTGTGTGTGTGTGTGTGTGTGTGTGTGTGTGTGTGTGTGTGTGTGTCTTAACCACACATCACTCACTACCACAAGAAGTAGTACCATTAACTCCTCTTTAATCAACCACCTCCTGACACTAAATACCTACAATAACACCTTCAATAACTCATATACTCCCGGATCATTATACCCATTAACTATACATTGTACTCTTAAGGCAGTGGTCGTTATATATTACTATAAATGCTCTCCTATATCAAGGTCTTATTTATGGCTATTGTGAACTTTTTTACGTGTAGTTTAAAATATATTTTATTGGTTTCATGTTTATTATTTAATCTTTATCGTTATCTATATTAACCTAATCTGACCTACACTAACCTAACCTAACCTAACCTAATCTGACCTACCCTAACCTAATCTAATCTAACATAATCTATCCTATCCAAACCTAACCTAACCTAACGCACAAGGTGAGGTTAAGGTTTTTTTGGGTGCTTCAGCTGCCAGGGTTATGTATGTATGTATGTATGTATGTATGTATGTATGTATGTATGTATGTATGTATGTATGTATGTATGTATGTATGTACGTATGTAAGGTCCAAAGAAAAATGAGAGGAACAAACTGTGGTGGGGAAGAGAATTTGGATGATTTCTCAGGAGGTGGAGCAAAAATAGTCACAAGACAGACAGACAGACAGACAGACAGACAGACAGACAGACAGACAGACAGACAGACAGACAGACAGACAGACAGACAGACACAGACAGATGGTGACAGACAGACAGACAGACAGACAGACAGACAGACAGACAGACAGGACAGACAGACAGACAGACAGACAGACAGACAGACAGACAGACAGACAGACAGACAGACAGACAGACAGACAGACAGACAGACAGACAGACAGACACACACACACACACACACACACACACACACCAAGGTATAATAACCCGTGCAGTAATGGTCTGTTCCTGCTAAACTATTTATTAATCTGGATATTATATGACTCGGGCTGGTTATAAATCACCTGTTATTTTATACCATGTTGTCCTAATTATGTTCTTGTAGCTCTTAGGTAATGATTTATGCGAGGGAATAATTCTTGAGAGGCCAAAGTAATTCAAGATGATTAACCTATATTTAGGACCGAATTTACATAACAAAACAGCAGGTACAGTCCCCCTTCACTAGTGCGTTTACAGGGGGTCGTCACAGTCCCCTTCACTAGTGCGTTTATAGGGGGTCGTCATAGTTCCCTTCACTAGTGCGTTTACAGGGGTCGTCACAGTCCCCTTCACTAGTGCGTTTACAGGGGTCGTCACAGTCCCCTTCACTAGTGCATTTACAGGGGGTCGTCACTAGTGCATTTACAGGGGTCATCACAGTCCCGTTCACTAATTTACAGGGGTCGTCACATTCCTCTTCACTAGTGCGTTTGCAAAGGTCGTCACAGTCCTTTCACTAGTGCGTTTACAGGGGTCGTCACAGTTCCCTTCACTAGTGCGTTTACAAAGGGTCGTCACAGTCCCTTTCACTAGTGCGTTTACAGGGGGTCGTCACAGTTCCCTTCACTAGTGCGTTTACAAGGGGTCGTCACAGTCCCTTCACTAGTGCGTTTACAAGGTCGTCACAGTCCCATTAGTGCGGGTCGTCGCAGTCCCGTTCACTAATTTACAGGGGGTCGTCATAGCCCCCTTCACTAGTGCGTTTACAGGGGGTCGTCACAGTCCCCTTCACTAGTGCATTTACAGGGGGTCGTCACAGTCCCGTTCACTAATTTACAGGGGGTCGTCACATTCCCCTTCACTAGTGCGTTTACAAAGGGTCGTCACAGTCCCCTTTCACTACCGCGTTTACAGGGGGTCGTCAGGTATTGTGCAGTGTGGCAGCGCTGTGTTTTTTTACATTCGACGGAAGGAAACTCGCAATAGTAAACAATATGGAATCAAAGTAAAAAACAAATATCTCAAAGTTAATATTTGTGGAATGTTTATATGAAAAGCCCCTGTAAACGCACAAGTGAAGGGGACTGTACGTGTAGGTTAGGTTAGGTTAGGAAAAGATTAACATATAACTTAGAAAATACCTTTGATAACGAACAATTAAACTATAATTTATTCATTACACCTTTATTATTTCTCACGTTACTCGAGTGTTAAGCCAGTGTAATGTGTATATTGTGTAGTGTGTATATTGTGTAGTGTGTAATGTGTGTGTGTAATGTGTGTGTGTAATGTGTGTGTGTAATGTGTGTGTATATGTTTTTGAGTTTTTAGTTCTTCAGGTAGAGGAAATAATTAAACGTTGAGATAACAATGGCGGGGAAGGTATACACAGTGCCTTTGATGTAGATTTCTTTTATCCTAGGTGTTTCTTTATATTTCCGGAAACATATTTCGTTCAAAAGTTATTCACGCGACTATTGTGTAAGGAAGGATTTAATAGGTAACTACGTCCTTGTCAGTGTTATAACCTTGATATAATGTTAGATATTTCTTCTTATATTAGTGTTGGATATATTTTTGTCACTTAATGTGGGTTGGGTTAGGTTGGGTTTGGTTGGGTTGGGTTGGGTTGGTTAAGTCAGGTCAGGTCAGGTCAGGTCAGGCCAGGTCAGATCAGGTCAGGTTAGGATAAGTTAGTTTCAACCTATTACTGGGCCCACTACGTCCAGTTTACACCTGCCTCCCCTCACTAAAGCCTCTGACATAAACTAGTGTACGCTGTTCTCGGTAAACTGTGTCGTAATTACAAAGTTTTGAAGAGTAAAAGGTGTTTTTTGTTGTTGTTTGGTACACGTAGTTAACAACAACCATCAAATATTTACTTATATAAAAATTTTCCTTTATAAAAATCGAAACACATTTTATTTTAGATTTTGTTTTTGGTGTTAACATGAGTTTGACGTTCTACTTTTATTTAGTTTTATTGAAGTAAAATAGTGATATAAGCTTCCTGAGCCTCTGTAAAACTCATCAACTCGACGTATATATATATGAACAAATATTTCAGCCTCAAATTTGGATGTTTGTTCCCAGTTGTTAAAATTTTACGGAACTTGTGAGAAAGTTAAGTAAATACAGCAGTAAACATTATTCATAAGGCCGAGATTAAACTCATTTCAACTCAACTCCAAACTTTGACCAAGAGGGACTGGGGCGCTAACGGAGACGCAGACGCAAAGGTGACGCAGACGCAGAAACTCTCAAGGACGCATATACATTACAAACACATACACAGACGCCATAACAAAAACAAAACACCCTATTGAACGACCATATCCATTGTTCTACCTCCCATAATCAATAATTGTTGATGAACCAGCGTAATTACTAACCTTAATGCGCCCTTAAAGACCTAAACAGTTGAAGTGTACTAATAACATACAGGTAAAAGACCAAACAGGTGACTTAATGATGCTTGTCCTTAAATTACCTGCTTGAAATGCCTAAAATTAATCCTAACAATAAGTAGATGGTTTTAAGTATATAATTACACCAATTATAAAAAGTAATTAAAGTTTTGTCATTTTTTAATAAGTATAAATTATATAACAAAAACACCTCCAACTACTGTGTCCCTTGTTCTCGCCCGGATCGTCATTTATATATATTTTTAACACAGAATCTTAGTATTTTTTCATCTGTTGCTCACGGTGTTGGCGGGTTTTCAGAGGATTAGTAAATTGATGTTCTTTCGTTGTGTGATGTTATTTTCTAGTGTAGTGTAGTGTAGTGTAGAGTCGTTTCGTTAGGTTTCGTTCCGTCTTTACACCAGTAACTGTCAGAAAAGTATAGTGTTTCTCCTGTCGTCCACACCACAGTCCCAGTTATTCACAGTTAAATTCAGTCGTCCGCCACCCGAGCCACATAGACTACCAGAAGCAATACTCGTAGTTTCACAACAATCCTTTTACGCATCAGGTGTGTGTGTGTGTGTGTGTGTGTGTGTGTGTGTGTGTGTGTGTGTGTGTGCATCCTACTAGAGCCACTCATGCTGATTTCATTCCCAAAGTTTATTCTCTAACATCAGGAGAATTGCAGGTATTTGTATGAAGCACAGGTGATTATATACCTGTGTGTGGAATTATATACCTGTGTGTGGAATTATATACCTGTGTTTGTAATTATATACCTGTGTGACGGATTACACCTGAGAATCTGTCTAGTCTACCTGTCTTAAGATTCTGATCTACCTGTCTTAAGATTCTGGTCTACCTGTCTTAAGATTCTGGTCTACCTGTCTTAAGATTCTGGTCTACCTGTCTTAAGATTCTGGTCTACCTGTCTTAAGATTCTGGTCTACCTGTCTTAAGATTCTGATCTACCTGTCTTAAGATTCTGGTCTACCTGTCTCTGGTCTTATTGAGGTGAGGGAGACGTGTTGGAACTGGTTAAGTGTAAACAACTTTTCATTAGTGAGGTGAGAGAAGACTGACATGTG